CCACACGAAAGCAGACATCGCGAACGTACGGACAAACGCGAAAGACGTCGTAGCTCAGCATCGAGGAATCGCACTTAGAAGAGAATAGATTCAAGGACTTGAACGCTGGCTCGCACTGCTTTGCCCGGGAGTATAGAGACTACTCTCTATGATCTGAGATTATTTGGTGTGATTGTATTATTATCATGGCCGATTTCCTTACTTATTGGTGTCTTTTTAGTGTACTTTGTACTGTGATTCATTCTGTAACTTGAAGAAATTATTATCTGTTGGCTGATCAGTATTGAGGAATGTATACATATAGCTTGCTCCGCCCATTATCCACTGAATATAAGCAGGACAGATTTCCATAGATTCAGTCGTTCTTTCTTCCCCTCCTACTGTGGCTGTCTACAATAAATATTATATCTACGTTTGAGGATCCACTCGAATCGGAAGACCCGCGTGGCGAGAGAGCTTATGGTGCATCGGCGACTCTGAGGACAGCGGACCGAGGCATCAGAGGATTCAGTCGAAGGATCGAAGCAAGGATCCCACACCGACAATTCAAGGACGAGGACGAGAGATCACTGGAAGTGAGTCCAAGCGCTGACCGATTGCTTGAAGTCACGTCTCTGCATAACACGTCCGTACCGATTGCGCTGCTAACATGGCTACCGCACTAACAACGCGACAAGCTGTACTAACCCGAGCACTAAATCGGCTAACAGCGAATATTAGGAAGTGTGAAGAGCTTGAAAATATGGTCATAGAGCCTCCATCAGAGGGTGAGAGCAGACGGGCGTACTTGGCAACCCAGCGACAGAAATTGGAAAAGTCCAAGATCCTTCTAGAGTCGGAAATTTCCAACGTTTCACGCGCGCTGGAGCAGTACAGTTCCACTGCTGATGACTTGGACCCTCAAACACCATCGCTAGCGGATATCCTTCAAAAAGTGAATGCTAATGTAGAGACAGCTACCCAGCACATGGACACCGCGTATTCGATATTGACGACAATTGAGGTGTTTCTTCAGGAACTCGGCAATATCGAGAGGAAGCAGATAGAGTTCTTCTCAAATGGCTCCCCTGATGCACCGCAAACGAACTTGGCGCCTATCCCCATTCCGAAGTTCAGCGGACGTATCTGGGATTGGGATACATTCTGGGGAGCATTTGAGCACTCCGTACACTCGCGCCAGATGGACGATCTGTACAAACTCAATTATCTTTTGGATGCACTCCAGGGAGAGGCAAGAGAAACAGTGAAGCAATTTCAAATCTCACGAGGAGCGTATCCGCTTGTCGTCGAACATCTGAAGCGAAAGTACGGAGACACTCAAGTGCTAGTCGAACAGCTGATACAGCGACTGCACAATCTGAGAGCTCTGAGCGAGCGCCTGGACGACCAGGAAAAACTGTGTGAACAGCTCTCTTCTATTGTGGCACAGCTTCATCTGAAGGGAGAAAACGTCAACAATGTCTTCCTGCAGAGGCAACTCCTCGGAAAGTTTACAGAAGACATACAACGCCAAGTGCTACGGAAGAAGGAGCAAGAGTCACCAGAGAGTAACTGGGACACGACCACCTTATTAGCTGCTGCAAAAAGCTACATTGCAATGGAACTCAAGATTCGTAGCCGAACCAACAAGAGGAAAGAAGATCGCCCAACAGTGCAGTCTTTGAAGGGTTCGAAAAGGGATCTAGGTTCCAATAATGGTAACAGAAAAGCGGCCAACCGTGGTTGTTTCTATTGCTCTAAGCAGGACCATTCCCCAACGGACTGCAAACACGTAACAACAAGAGAAGAACGGCTAGAGGTTATCCGAAAGGGGAAACTATGTCATAACTGTGGATCCAAGGACCACATGGTCGGCCAGTGTACAAAAGGACCTTGTCGAATATGCCAGCAGCACGGACATCACACCTCTGTGTGTCGCCAGCTTTTTTCTCCTCCAATGAAGCCGTCGGCCGCGCAAGATGTCAAAACAGTGCCCCAAACGAAGAGTAAGGCCACTCCAAAGCGCTCGCAAACCTTGATATCATCTAAGGTAAACACCACTCTGTCAGGACAAGGTCAAACCCAGGACGTAGTTCCAAGTACAGCCGTGTACGTGAATCATCACCGAGTTGGAACGAACGTTCACATCCTCGTGGGACAAGCACAGGTCTTGAATCCAAGTAATCAGGCATTGGAAACCGTCCACGTCATGCTCGATACCGGCGCCGATCGCTCATTCATAAGTACTCAACTAGCTGATCACCTTGAGCTACGCGATATCAAGTCGGTTGAGCTAACCATCAGTACCTTCGGTTCACAGCAACCGCTGAAGAGGATATGTGGAGTAACAGAACTCCAGATGTGGGATGCGCAGGGCAAGGCCCACAAAGTCACGGTGACCAAAATTGACACCATCACAGAACCAATGGAACGAAGCAGTCTCAGCAATGAGGACAAGCAATTCCTCTACGACCACAACATGACGTTGTCGATCAGCTCGAATGTAACGGACATCTATCCACAAGTCTTACTTGGATGTGCCGATCTATATTCATTTTTGGACAAAGGACTAACAGCTGAGACATCGCTTCCTTCAGGACTCAAGCTCATCCCATCCAAGTTAGGATACCTCGTTTCAGGACGAGGTTCCAATCATAATGATGCACTCACAGAAGAGTCACGAGAAGTGGTGGAATTCGGACACAGCTCAATGGAACCTGAAGATGAACCGCAATCGTGGGCAGACTTCTGCACATTTGAGTCATCAGGCGTTCACGAATTCGTCGGACCAAATACCCAGGAACGCAAAACCGTAGAAGCGGAAGTATGGGAATGGTTCGAACAGACGATTGAAAGGAAAGCGGATGGATATTACGTACGACTTCCATGGAAGAACAACGCAGCAGAGCTACCTGACAACAAAGTGATCGCCGTGCGGAGATTGGAAGCAGCCATCGATAAGCTCGTCAATGACCCCGAGACACTACGTCAGTACCATGAGACCATCATGAGTCAGCACGAAAATGGGATTATCGAAGAAGTTGACGAGAACGCACCGAGTAGTGGAGCAATCGTCCACTATCTCGCACATAGAGCAGTTATCACGCCTCACAAGGAGACTACCAAACTGAGGGTAGTTTTCGATGCATCGGCGCATTTCAGAGGACAACCTTCACTCAACGACGTTCTACATCAAGGACCGGTTATTTTACCGAAGATTTGCGACGTTCTGTTGAGATTCAGAACAGGCAATGTAGCGGTCACAAGCGATGTGGAAAAGGCATTTCTTCAAGTGCGGCTTCATCAGGAAGACAGAGACGCCACTCGATTCCTCTGGCTACGAGATACCGCTCAACCAATGTCTCCGGAAAATACGGTTGTGTACAGATTCACAAGGGTGACATTTGGGTTGAATTGCTCACCATTCCTCCTCGCAGGAACAATCAAGCATCACTTGGCTACTTATGTGGCGGACTCAGAATTTGCGAAAGAAATAGCCGAAAACACATATGTCGACAACCTCATCGTGACGACTTCGTCGACAACGGAAGGTCTTCATCTCTACAACGAAGCCAAACGACTCTTCAAAGACCTCAATATGAACTTGCGAGAGTTTTGCTCAAACGATGAGAAGCTCAACGAGAAAATCGCAGCGACAGACCTGAGTTCAAATGTAGACCAGAAGGTTCTTGGAATACCATGGCGTTCACGAGAAGACCATATCATACTGACGTGTCGATATCGAACTAAAGCGAAGATGACAAAGCGATCAATTTCAGAGCAAATCGCTTCTGTCTATGACCCGCTGGGGTTTCTCACTCCACTCACACTCAAGGGAAAGCAATTCCTTCAACAGTTGTGGAAGTGCGAATACGGCTGGGATACATTACTATCCTCAGAACACCAGCAGAAATGGAAAGACATTATCGACGAAACAGATGGATTTCAAATCACACTACCTCGGCGGATAGCAGGAACCAAGTCGAAATGCAACTTGGTTCTATTTGCAGACGCTAGCAGCACAGGAATGGCTACTTGTGCATACGTCGTCTCAGAATCCGGAAGTCACCTTGTTGCCGGAAAGTCCAAACTACCTTCGCTAAAGGATCACCCCACCGTTCCAAAGTTGGAGCTGAATGCTCTTACGATGGCAACGAGACTGTCTTACTCGATACATATGGCGTTACGACATAAAGTCGACATTGAGAATGTGCTGATTTTATCCGACTCTGAGATCACTCTCAGCTGGCTTAAATTTGCCAATGTCGAGAAATTGACTGGAGTGTTAGTCAGGAACAGAGTCGCAGAAATAAGAAGAATCGTTGCGGATATGCCCATGACTGTCCAGTTCGGATATGTGAAGACATGCGACAATCCAGCTGATTGCGGAACCAGGGGAATCACGAAAGCCGAATTTGATGGTCACATGTGGTGGCATGGGCCGACATTCATCAGCCGCGATCCGGATACTTGGCCTGAAGAAAGCCGTTTGTTCACTCTGCCAACTGAAGACTGTGATGAGCAAATATGCATGGTTGCAAGAGCAACAGAAGAAACGTCTGAATTACTAGACTGGTCGAGACACAACCGACTGACTTCTGCCAAGCGCACGATGGCATACGTTTTGCGCTTCTTGCATAACATTTCGCTAAGAGTGAATGTGAAGTTCAAGGAACGCTTGGAGAAGGCTATCCCGGAACTCTCCAGTATGACATCAGAACCATTCATCACTGCGGCTGAAAACAGAATGGCTCTACAAGTTCTGGTACGTCATCATCAGAAGACGGAGTACACAACAGAGCAGCTGAAGTCACTGAAACAGCTGAATCTTCGAGAGGACGAAAATAGAATTTTGAGATGCCAAGGACGTCTGGCAAAAGCCTCCATCGATTACGATGCCAAACACCCGATGCTGGTCGCTTCTAAGTCAGCACTTGCAAGGGTAATCGTACATGATGCGCACCTCCCCTATCACTGCAGCACTGCGCAAACGATAGCCAACGTTCGACAGCTGTTTTGGATTCCAAAATTGAGACAGCTCGTAAAAAACGTTTTGCGATCATGCGTGCCGTGTCAAAAACTGAACAACCTGCCCTTCAAGTACCCAGAAATGGATGACTTGCCAAGCAGACGAGTGCGGCGAACCCGCCCATTCGAGCACGTGGGAATCGACTACTTTGGACCACTCTTGTCCAAACAGCACGACTCAACTGTCAAGGTCTACGGAATTATCATCACATGTGCAGTTACACGGCTGCTGCATCTCGAGCTCGTACTGGATATGTCGACCAATCAGCTACTTCACGCGTTACGAAGATTCTTCGCAAGAAGAGGGGTACCAGTAAGCATCACGTCGGACAACGGCCCTTCTTTTTTGCTCGGTGAACAGATCCTACGACAAGCAGTACTTCCTACGATCAACGACGTCTCATTTGCAACTGCAATATCCGCGAAGGGAATCGCTTGGAAAACTATCACGCCATACGCCCCGTGGCAGGGGGCTCTCTACGAACGCTTGATAAAATCTGTGAAGCACTCCCTCTATAAAGTATTGCAGCGAACGATCGTACCCGTGGAAGAACTGGAGACGCTTCTGGTAGAAATTGAGGGGACCCTAAACAGCAGGCCCCTGACGTATCAGGAAGAGAAATGGGAAGACACCCCCACGATCAGACCTATTGACTTCATCCAGAGGGATATGATAATCACCTACCCCATCGAAGCCATTGACGAAGAACGAGATGACGCAGAATATCTCCCGCATGAGGACGCAATACAACTGAGGAATAGAAAACAAGCTGAAGAGGCCCTCAAAACGAGTCATAAGCTGACGGAAAGATTCTGGACCGTGTGGAGTCAGCAATATCTGAGCAGCCTTCGAGAAGCACACAAGCTCACAATCGACAACAAGAGAGGAAGCTCTTCTATTCCAGAGATTGACAGTGTTGTGCTCATCTCCGACCCCGTTATGCCGCGAAATTCGTGGAAGTTAGGTCGAATCGTCGCGCTACCGAAATCCGAAACAGGAAAGATTAGGGAAGCTCAATTGAAACTTCCGAACGGACGTCTCATTCGGCGACCAATTAATCTGCTTGTTCCTTTAGAATTAGGGGATACTAACAATAAAACGACAAGACCCGGAGAGAGCATATCTCAAGCGGAAGACGCTCCTGAGGAAATCCACAAAGAACCAATTTCTACCAATGACCTGCAGGAAATCCGAGACAATCCTGTGGAACCAGACTCAACATCCCGATATGAGCTGCGCCCACGTAAACTTGTGAACTACAACGAAGACACGGCACATTGCGCAACAGCTCATGGTTCAACTTCGAAAAATATTCCGATAAAGTTCCTCCTGACCTGTACTACAGCTCTCATGCTAGCAACAGGAGTTACACCAACAACCACTGCAGTTGGACAAATGTCATGCATTCCAGGGGGTCTTTCTATCACGACTCGTAACATCGAACAATACGAAGTGTGTGCAGAACATCTCTGCTATGTGAAAGAGCAACCACAAGGAAATGAGACGATCCATTTGCCCCCGGAAATACTTCTGCATAAGCATGATGTTCAACTGAAGCTTTTTGATGGACAGAACCTCACTGTGCTAGAAACATCATGCCCACCTGAGTCATTTTGCGATCACATCCGATGTTGGTTCTGCACAGCCAACATTTTCAATCCCGAATGTTCACCTCGAACGGCTATCACTGCACTCACCATTACACTTTACATCTCCATCGCGTTACTTTACGCGTTGTGCTATGTACCCATGGTATTCGGAAAACCGTGTCGCATCGTGGCCAAGGCATTGTGGTCGTTATGCAAAGCCATAGGATACCTACTTTGGAAGATCTGCAAACGACCAGCCCACCGAGGACAACGATATGATGTGGAAGCACTGTTGAGAACACCGCTCCTGGCTATTGTCTGTACGACAATGTTGGCCACAAGATCATTCGCTTGTCAGGATATCGACGTGTTTTCTTATCGTGACTCAATGTGCACGTTCTCTGAAAAAGGGATCAAGCGGTGTGCTTTGGAAACCACGGAACTCATGAAACTCAGCAGTTTCAACCAGGACGCATGCATCCGTCTTACCAACCGCCAGTCGGTTGAGAAGGAAGTAAGGCTTCAATGGAAAGGACTACGGCTGACGTGCGTCAAGGAAACAATCACGTTCACCCGGAACAGCCTCCAAAAAGTGGTAGACTACAAGAGATGTGCCCACTGGGGATCATGCATTGAAGACAAATGCGCATCCATCAACGAGTCTTCACTGGTCCCGGAACTTGCCCAAGGTAACCAGTTTCCTGGAATTACCAAATGTGTGGAAAGTTGTGGAGGAATCGGATGTGGATGTATTACTCCCAGCAGTGGCTGCCTTTTCTATATCGGATTTTTCATGTACCACAGGATGACAAGGTGTATGAAATCTTCAAGTGTTCTCAGTGGAAGGAAGAGCTCGAAATAGAGATCACGAGCATCTCTACGCTAACCAAAACTACTGACAAACACACAATAAGACTGCAGCCCTCAATACCGTTCACACTGGGCAAAATGAGGATCACTCTTACCAGTCTTTCCTTTCTACCCACCCCAACGTTAGCGTCCTCCTTCATATCGGATGGTTCACAGATCGCTATTTGGGCTCACAAGGAAACACCGCCCCTTTTCTGCGAATCAGAAGACCAAGCTAGATCGCTTAACTGCTCCGTCACCACGGACTGCGATTGTGAACCGGCTGAGGACAAAGTGAATTGCATGTGCACGGACTTCAAAGTCACAAACGTCTTCTCAAATGAAATAGAAAACCGCTTGCCAATACGGCGTCCATGGATAACCTTTACAACAACGAGGGAGGATCCGACAACAGTTGTGGCACTAATTCCGTCGTTCATCACGGCAGAGATTTTGATCCATCTGAGAGAAGAGTTCGATAAGACGGTCAGAATGGTGACCGATTCTATATGCACTGTTCCCAACTCCATCGCAAAGGGATGCTATCTCTGCCCGCAAGGCGCATTTGCAGAGATAACGTGCAATACCGAAGACAACCCCACCATGGCTACGATAACATGCGATGATCAATCCTTCACGATTCCGTGCAAAAGAGAAGGAGCGACTTCTACGCTACGTTTCACACACAAATCGGCAAGATTGATGAAGCGTTGTAAGGTTTCGTGTGGCAGTTCTGAAAAGACTTTCGAAATCACGGGGATTTTACAATGGATCCGTACAATTCACGGATCTACACTCAAGGTCATCAGCGGCGAAAGCAGCGTGTACGATGAGCTAGTTTTCCGGATTTTGGACATATTTTTGATGTCATTCTTCACTGGTATAAGACTGTCATCGCGGCCGGTATCGTACTCATCCTCGCCGTGATAATAGGATACTTATTTCTGTGGAGCTGTGGGCTAACCATTGCTCTTAGAGTACTTCAAATACCCCTGAAGATTGCAAAAGGACTTCTACGCATCATTATAAGGACCATGATAGCAGTAGGGATAACCATCTTTTCCATGACTCGGCAACCGAAGAAAGGATTGGAAAAATTGCTTTGAGATGCGGCATCGATTCGATCCAGATTTTATCCGTCGCATGGAATCACCTACTTGTATTTTATTTACCTAGTGTAGTTCGCATTTTAGCCATGGAAAAATATAAGAAGACGCCATCTGCTACCTCGGAAACAGACGTTAGCACCACCAGGCCACCAGCGCCGAAGGCGACTTCTCAAACCAAGTCGGCATCACAGCCAAAACGTTTAAATCCCACGGCAAAGTCAGTGGCGCCAGCAGGGTCCGTAGCTGCTTCCACCTCCAAGCGCAAGAGGGACACATCCTCATCTTCCTCGTCTTCAACGGAAGAAACATCTCTTCCCCCGAAAAAAGGTCGCGCTTCAGGTTCCATGCTGAAAGAGCTTCTTCAACAGGGCAGCAGAGTCCTCCAGTTTGCTGCGAGCAAGGTCGACCAACTCGCTCCAGCAGTTACGGTATCATCGTCTCAAGAAACAACAGAGCGTCTTGACCGTCTTGAACAACTGATGAAGTCATATCACGAACAGAATGTCAAGATGCACAAGTCAAATGAAGCCAAGCTCGAAAAGCTTGACTCCAAGGTAAACATCCTTACGGCTCGATTGAACCAGCTGGAAAAGGAGGCCAAGGAGCACACACAAAAAGCCAGGGAGACGACCACCAGCGACCAAAGCAACGAAGAACTCTGGAGCAAGCTGCAAGGAAAGTTCGAGCTGCTACGAGAAGAGATCTCCTCCGTCAACAAGCTAGCTTTCGACATCAGGTATATCCATGAGAGCTTCGAAGAGCTTAACTCGCGCCTTTCCAACACGAACACTGGCCCGGCGGAGCCCAGCTCGGAGCTGGACAGAATTCGACACCAAATGAGGGAAACCGAAAGAGAGCTGAATGCTGCAAGAGATGCAACGCGTGAGACTGACCAGTCGATCGAAAAGGAATTGACAGATAAGGGACGAGTAGGATCTTCGAGAACAATGGAGGAACTCAAGGACAGGCGAAGGAGCTGTCAATCGAGGGAATCGAGGCTCGAAAGGGAGATGCGTGACCTGCAAGCCCGGCTGGAGCGTGAAACCAGGAGGCGAAATCGTCCGACTCGTGAGCAATCGCAAGAACAGCAAGGAATGAGACGAGAGCGGAGCGATAGCCCACACGAAAGCAGACATCGCGAACGTACGGACAAACGCGAAAGACGTCGTAGCTCAGCATCGAGGAATCGCACTTAGAAGAGAATAGATTCAAGGACTTGAACGCTGGCTCGCACTGCTTTGCCCGGGAGTATAGAGACTACTCTCTATGATCTGAGATTATTTGGTGTGATTGTATTATTATCATGGCCGATTTCCTTACTTATTGGTGTCTTTTTAGTGTACTTTGTACTGTGATTCATTCTGTAACTTGAAGAAATTATTATCTGCTGGCTGATCAGTATTGAGGAATGTATACATATAGCTTGCTCCGCCCATTATCCACTGAATATAAGCAGGACAGATTTCCATAGATTCAGTCGTTCTTTCTTCCCCTCCTACTGTGGCTGTCTACAATAAATATTATATCTACGTTTGAGGATCCACTCGAATCGGAAGACCCGCGTGGCGAGAGAGCTTACACGGACTAACAGTTTTCATTTCAACTGAAAATGTACTGTTAGATCCGAGATGCATAGATATGGATTTCATGGTCAAAAAACGACAGGATTTTTTTGGACGGCCTAATACATAGATTACTTCTTTAGTGCTGTTGTGGAATTAAGCAATATGTATGTGTGATATACTATAAGCTTATCCGTAAAGAAGGATTTCTTTCGACTAGTAGCAATCTTGAAGAAGTAATTCACGATAAGAACGAAAGTCAAAGAAGGGAAAATTGCGACAGGAGGACCTCCAGGATGCTGACCGACGTGCAACTAGCAGCGAAAGATTTCGCTTAGCACCAGCCCTATCATCTCATCTAAGCGGCGTCGGCGGGGTAAAATCCTCAGGACGCAATTAGCCAGCGCTCGCACGCAGGTCCAATATGCCGACGAGTGATCAGATGGCAGAGAGAGTGTAGCGTTATAGGGCCCAGCGATGAGAGTCGCATCATGCGCGAATCAACGGGCAAGGAAGAGATCTCATTTCTCGGATTCCGCCGTTTCAAAGGTTTCTTCTTCATTCCTGCTTCACTGACCACCTCTACCCTTATTATCCCAATATAAAGCGAGTTTGCATAAATTTCATCGTATTCTGCCTTGAGTAGCATTACTGTCACAGCAAGCACTTCAGCAATGTTTATATTTTTCAAGTTTTTTTTTCTTTCATCGTCCTTCCCAATTTTTTATTGATTCGGCTGAACAAAATTATGTGCTCATTCATGCTTTTAATAGTTCTTTTGTGTATTGGCATCCTATCTAACCAAGAGGAATTCCTTTTGCTGTTGTTTTCCTCATGGCTCTCATCTTATTCTCTTTCCATCCGGTCGAGTTCGTGCCGCGTGATCGTTTTCGAATACCGTAATCATTCGTTACCATATTGTTTCTTGCAGGTGTGTTCAGTGCGCATGTCATGCTGCATGATCTACTATTTATGCTAGTGATTTCGGGAAAGGCGATATTTGCCGAGCCATCTTGCGAGTATAACGCGAACCAACGGAAAAGTATATTACGGGTAAGTTCTTAACCTAATTTGTCTAGGATCATAGGACTAATGGGAAACACAGAGCTGGCGCATTGCTCTAAAGGATGGGCCACAAGATGACTGATTTGTCCCTTAAACCAGTGACTAAAGTAGCGAGTTCCACTTCATCAAAACATGTTGTCCTTCTCGATAAAATACTACGGCCCTCTCAAGTTGGATGGCATGCCAAAAGTACACGCAGTGCGTCGCGCGACAATAATGCGCGGCAATCAGAACGAGCCGGTCAATTCATGCGTGTTGAGATTGGAACTACACGTCAAAATTGGCGTAAGACAAGTTCCTTGTGTTGTAATTGTGGTCTGGGGTTTACTTACCTATTTCGCTATTTTTCACATAATCTAACTCTAACACAGCCCTCGGGATCAAGGTTAGGTCAGGGTTACGTTAGGGCTTAAGGTGGTCAAGCTGGAGTTAGGTGAGTACGACTGCTATTGTTGCCACAGCGCACGGCGCGATGCCTCCTTGATTAGGTGGTAGTGGCGAAGTTTTTAAAGGCAAACCCCGGGATTAGCCCGACTTGTGGGAAGGATACCGCGAGGGAAATTGTAAGGTCCTACCTACCTAGATCACTCCAGCTTCGCCGCAAAATTGCGCGGTTAGGGCGCTAATCCTTACGGGCCTGCAACCATCGACCCCCGTTGCAACGCTTCCCACCCACCTCGATATCGGCGTGCTCTCTCGAACGGCGTGATCTCTCGCGTGTTTTGTCTTCTTTGACCGCCCTGTCTCGCCATCGTACCACATCCGACCTTATTGAAGGTTAAGGCCTTAATTTCAGCGTTCCCAAAGATTTCTCTTGCTTTCCTTCCACTTTCAGGTTTCAGACATCACTAAAGCGCCTATCACCAGTTTTATCCCGGGGCTTGCCTTTGAGTCACTCTTTAATCTATTCTGGTGATTGAATACAATATGTCAAGTCATCCGGCAGTATTAAAATATTTCGATTCATTAGGGGGATTTTCTCTGTCTAAGTGATTTTTTAAACGTATTGTTGCACAGCCAATTTCCTACTGCATGCCAAGATGCTGCAGCGCTCCAGTGTGCCAGAGTCCACGTCAAGAGTCATACACCAATCTCCCAATTACACACGGGATGAAACTTCTCACTGCTGACGTCAAACATTTTTGTCAGCAATTTCATTAGCTGGCGACAAACACAATGTCTACATCGCATTCACATGCTCCTATCCAAGAAGAATAAAAGGAAAAAGGATAAAGCATTTGCCGTTGATCAATCCCTTTTTGGGATGCGGCACGCATTCTACTTCCATTTGTACATTCGTAGTGGCGTTTGAATGCGATGTGGCCTATACAATGACTTGCGGGGCCAGCCGATGTACAAGTCAGTGTTTTTGT